GTGCAATGTGATGGTACGCTTGAATGAATAAATATCCTAAGAAACACGATTCTATGCCAAAATAATCGTGAAAAACTATTTCAACAAATAAAAAAAGTGAGGTTAGTGAGATTGTTTTGCCTCCAGGGTCGGTCTTCTGACATTTTGTGCACGCGACCTATAGAGTTCAAAGTAATACGGTTATAAGTACTGTCAGAAGCAATTCCAAGAAACAGTAGTGACATTTTGTTTTGAAAGGCCGAAAAAGCACTCCTTCATTGGCAAAGTTCAAGTAGTGAGCATCATAGTTTCAAAAATAGATGTGAATGAAAAGGAGGCTCACATTAGTGAAACTAACCCTGTTCCTTCGATTCGATTCTTGTAGAGAAATTTAATAAATTTAATTAACAATTCTTACCACTGACTTGATCTTATAGGCATGTTGCATGAATATTTCTCCTTACCTGTAACAAAAATCTATAATTACTTCTGTGATATCTGATATACCAATCAAGAATATTTCAGAAAATAATGAAATATTTCTCCTCAACAAAGCATAAGACATCTGATCAGGCACCGATCAGACTAGATTGGATCGAACAAATGTCGTGGAGATTTTTAATATCTCGATATTCATGGATTCTGCTTGTCAAACACTGGAATAACAAAGAGATCGATGCGAATCCACTAGTTCAGAGCTTTTTCAATATCTGTACCCCGACGGCGATGTTTACTTCTTTCAAATTGTTTGTTCGTTTTACACCTACGTTCAGTAATAGTCTCGGAAAAAAATGCAGATCTTCCTACGAGTCGATATCTCTTTCTCCTTCACGTTTATAAAACAAGTAATCAACAGTTATTCTTCGAAGTGACTACGCCTCTTGTCTGTTGATTTATTTATATCATCAATTTTCAAAAAGGAAATATCAATTTGGGAATCTTTAATGATGTATTTAGATATGACTGTAAATCAATTAGGATGCTGGACAGAGCCTACAGGCCCAATCAGTTAACCTGTTCCACAAGGGTCAACGGGATCATTAATGAAAACAATTGCCTCACCACCAACTCTAATTATTGCTTTTCTCTGAGGTTTTGTAAGAGTATGTATTAATCACCTGATACCAAACCTAAGGAAAACGTTAGTTTCTTTTATCCGACACAGTTCCAACCATGGACGTTTAAAACTGTCTATAGACAGTTGGATTGAAGTTTGACAGTCATACGCATGTCATACGCGTACCTACGCGATATTGGCCACGTTTATACCGTATGGATAGTTGGTATGCTTACCAAGGAGATCTAACTAAATTCAGACCAAATTCCTTAGTTAACGCATGTTTTCACCATGTATCTTCAGTTGACTAACTTTACCAACTTTGTTTTGATTTGATTATTTTTTTCATCACTTATGTGAAGTTGGCACCGACTTTTTTGAAAAACTGAATTTTTATCGGAGTTCTGGGTAGATACGATAGAGTTCTGGAGTTCCTGACAAAAAATTTCAATAGTTCTGGTTAGTTGTAGAAAATAACTGAAAAACAAAATTGTGGGTGCTAACTTCACGCGGCGCCGTTTTTTTCACAGAAAAGAGTTCTGATGAGAAATTTCGACGTATTTGAAAGAGTTCTGGAGTTCCTGATATATTTCAACGATAGTTCTAGCGAAATAACAAAGTTATTCCTATTTTTAATAGGGACATTCATACGCTCATGTAGCATCCACCACTTTCTAAAGTTTGGATCGGAGTTCTGGGTAGCACCAGTCGAGTTCCACATACTATCTAGGTAACTTTTTTCTCTAAAATCGAAACTCTAGTTTTTATAAGCGGAAACGAAGGACCGATTGAAAAAAAGTGTTTTGTGAACGATTTGGAAAAGAGAGACAATAGAGGAGTTCTGATCGGAGTTTTGGGTAGCACCAGTCCAGTTCTACATACTATCTTGATAACTGTTTTCTCTAAAATCGAAACTTAAGTTTTTATAAGCGAAAACGAGGGACCGATTGAAAAAAAAATGTTTTGTGAAAGATTTGGAAAGGAGAAAAAATAGAGAAGTTCTATCGGAGTTCTGGGTAGGTTCTGAAGTTTTGATTTTAGAGAAAAAAACTTATCTAGGTAGTATGTAGAACTCGACTGGTGCTACCCAGAACTCCGATCAGAACTTCTCTATTGTCTCTCCTTTCCAAATCGTTCACTATATAAACACATTTTTTTTTTCAAGCGGTCCCTCGTTTCCGCTTATAAAAACTGAAGTTTCGATTCTAGAGAAATCAGTTATCAAGATAGTATGTAGAACTCGACTGGTGCTACCCAGAACTCCGATCAGAACTCCTCTATTGTCTCTCCTTTCCAAATCATTCACAAAACAATTTTTTTTCAATCAGTTTTTTTTTGCGCTTATAAAAATTAAAGTTTTGATTTTACAGAAAAAAATTATCAAGATAGTATCTAGAACTTGGCTGGTGCTACCCAGACCTCCGATCGGAACTCCTCTATTGTCTCTCCATTCCAAATCTTTCACAAAACTCTTTTTTTTTCATTGGTCCCTCTTTTCCGCTTACAAAAACAAAAGTTTTGATTTTAGAGAAAAAATGTAAAAAAATAGTATGTGGAACACGACTGGTGCTACCCAGAACTCCGATCCGAACTTTAGAAAGTGGTGGATGCTACATTAGCGTATGAAATGTCCCTATTAAAAATATGAATAACTTTGTTATTTCGCCGGAACTATCGTTGAAATATATCAGGAACAATTTTGTTTTTCGGATATTTTCTACAATTAACCAGAACTATTGAAATTTTTTTCAGGAACTCCAGAACTCTATCATATCTACCCAGAACTCCGATAAAAATTCAGTTTTTCCAAAAAGTCGGTGCCAACTTCACATAAGTTATTCCATCATTTGACTAGATATATTTATTCAAAAATGACTTGGGAATTCATTGTTTCGCCTTATAATTGCCTTTTTCTGATCATAGTTTTTCTTCTAAATATATCAATAATATTGATGGGCCACTAGGAGCGACTATGAACGAGCTTAAAAATGCTTGGAGCAAGAGTATGATGTTTCTGAGCATCTAAGTAAATTCTGTTTTCTTTTCCTTATCATTCAAAATGAACAATAGTGTTTAGCATCATGAATTTCTTCTTTCTTCATACTTTATAGCAAGGCAAAATTACGCTACAAGTACCTTAACAAATTTTAGGAATCATCGATAGCTCAGTCATTTTTGAATTCAAGAAGTAAGTTCATAGGACAGTTCTTGTTCAGAATCGAATCACTTATCGATTAAGACCATAACAAGAATTAACTCTTCGACATATAACTCGTGATGGCGATGTTCGATTTTTTTTTTCTTTTGCATAACCAAGTTAGCAAAAGTGCCATCTTAACCTCCTCAGCTGGTGAAGTAGCTGGTAGGAGAGTTACTCGGTGAGCCATTTACATAAATTAGTTGCCGTTGGCCTGAAACAATTCCTCGTGGATCTCTAATATGATGTTTTATCACATGGAGTACACACTGGTACTCGCATGGATACTCGCAATAACGATTCTACAGGCCTTCAAGATTAGTAGTAGCCTAGAGAGATCCAACGAACCAACTGCCATTGACAAAGAGCAAAACATATGATTACCCATATCTAACGATCTATCTATCGACTTGCACAGCTCTTATCTAAACACATGCTATCTCATTGATCGACTTCTACGCTAACCTCATATCTACCAACTGCGATCTCTGACTCTGTCCCGATGAGATACGAAGCTATACCTTTATACCTACGTATAGTAGGCAGTGGCAGTGTTCTGGGTGCAATTGTTTTGCGTCCACATATCAACAAGTCGACCTTGAGTCACTTGCAACAGGTTTGCCAACGTAAGAATCGCCGAGACTACGTAACCCGAAGAGTGATTAAAATGCCGATCAACGGGTATTCGTTTGGCTTCATTAGGGGTTCAACAGCACCAGAAGGTTTGAGTAGTCACTGTTAGCTTGAGACTAGAAGATAATTGAAATTCTATAAACGATATGGATGATATTTTTCATGTGAACATGTTAGAGGACTTGCCCAAGAATAGATCCCCGTGGGCTTGCCTTCTTAAAAATTAAAACTATTATTGCACTTTCGTCTCAATTTCGTGGTCTCTTTGTTTAGAATAATTTGATGAGATTGTTTGATATTCGAGTTCGTTCACCAAATTGAATGATAATAAGCGGAGTAATAACGCATTTAAAGATTTCTTCAGATTGGTACATTTTTTTAAATGGGTTCCTTCGATAATAGGTATGGGTAAGGACAAGATCTGATATTCTCTTTTCCTTCTAGACCTGAGAAGAGAAAATATTTGTTAAAATTCATAAATATAGGATTTGAATAAAATAACCTAGGTAATAATTGACTTATTGCTACTTTTCCTCAATAAGGTTTGATAAATAAGTGAAATTAAAAATTTCGATTTTGCATTCGGGTCGAATCTTGTAAATGAACGAGAGCATAGTACCTACGGCCATCGCTGTGTATTTTATCTTTATTCACACTTTTCTCTTCGAATTCATACTTTTTTCTCTGACTTCAAACCTCTTGTGAGTTGAGGATATACCAGAATTATATGTGCTTACACAAAATACCAGTATAGGAACATGAAAATTCAATGTTTTGATACACACTGTATACACATATCAGAGAAAAAAACTTTGAATTGAATTCAGAGAAAAAAGTATGAGTTCATTAAAAATCTGGATTCATAGAAAAAAGTCTGAATTCGGCGAAGAATTCTGAATTCACAGAAAAAATCTGAATTCAGGAAAAAATATCATGTCATAGAAAAAAAAGCCCTAATTCAAATGAAAGAGTCTGAATTCATATAAAGAAATCTGAATTTGAAGAAAAAAGTCTGAAGAAAAGAAATATTAAAAAAATACCAGTCGCCATGCGCATGTACTAAAACGATTTTGGAATGGGGAATTTACGAACCCATTGTGTTGTATCGTAATCTCTCAAATCACATCAGTATTATGTTAGTGCTCGACACTATTATACGAAACTGAATATGAAGAGTGATTTGCCTGCTGATCTCCGCGATTTTCTAGAAAAATCTGTCGATGAAAAACTCGAAAACTTTCAAGTGGTCATTCACGATGGAAACAAGAAAGGTGAAGGTTTCCTGGGAGACTTCTTCTTCATTTCTTTAACCAACAAAAAGACCAAAGATGTATTTAACCTTGCTGTGAAGCAAGTCCTAGCCTGTGGTGGAGAAGCTTCATTGAATATAATGAGTAAATATTTCCACAATGAACTTTGCTTTTACGAAAGCTTGTGGCCGGAAATGAGAAGATTCCAGGAGAAGCATTCAAATTCGGAACATTTTCTGAAAGTCCCCAGGCTGTATGCTTTAGACGCAACCAAAGCGGCCGAGAAGATATCCTTAGAAAACCTTAGATTCCAAGGTTTTAGCAACCATCCCAAGAGAGATTTCTTCAAGAAACAACACCTGGAGTACGTTTTGAGAACGTACGCGCAATTCCACGCACTCAGCATGGCATTCAGAAAATTGGAACCTGCAAAGTTTAAGGCAACTACTGAACCTTTGGCTGATATCCACGAAGCTGTTTCCACATTGCAGTTCTTCCGACGAGCTATAAACCAGAGTTGCCAGAGCGTTTTGCATACTTTAGATGAAAATACCGAGAAAGATTTAGTAGATAAGTTCAAAGTTTATGCCGAGAGAGGAACAGATATTCTTTTCGAAATATCTAGATATCATGGGGATCATGCAGCCCTATTACATGGGGACTCATGGTGCAACAATCTGATGTTCAAGTATGACGTAAGTAACGTTTTTGTATGATATGGTAAAAAATTATCTGAATTATATATGATAAGTATCTACACGATAAGAATAGTATTCACTGCATGCTTATACAGTGGCGTGCCTATAGTATACCTCAAATATTCTATTTTTTCAAGGAATCCAATAACGTGGAAGACATGAGGATCATAGATTTTCAGCTAATCAGAACTGGAACTGTGGTGTATGACATTTCCTACTGTATCTACTCTGATGGTTGCAAGAAAACTTTGGACGATTTGGAACATTATCTCCAAGTTTACCACCATAGCCTCTCGGAATCTCTGAGGGGCTACGATTTGGATCCAGAAGAAGTGTACCCTTATGATATTTTCAAAGAGGAGTGGAAGCGTTACAGCAAACTTGGACTCATTTTGGGAATACTATGCAATAGTTCCAAATATTTCGAAACAGATTCTCTTAAAACATTTTCAGACATGATCGATGAGGGTGAAGAGGAAGAGGAAATTACTACGAATGTATACATGCATAAGTCGGAAAAGTTTCTGGATATAGGTAGGGGCCTAGTATTGCATATGTTTCACAATGATTTTTTGTGAAATAAGATGGAATTGAGTTCGCTAGCTCTGATTATATGGTGACAGCGCCTTCACCAATACCATAACCCTATTCTTTCATGAAACCCTATAGGTCGCGTGCACGATGACCGACCCGGGAGGTAAACTATTGAAACACAACCTCACTTTTCTGTGAAAAATTGAAACATAACCTCATTTTTTATATTCATTTACATAGGAATCAGAGAATTGAAATAGTTTTTCACAATATTTTGGCATACGAATCGTGTTTTTTGCGCCGCTATTCATTAATTCAAGCATGCCTTCTCATTGTGCTGTTATACAATACACAAGAAATTCAGCAAGAGACGAAGGAATATGATTTTTCAAGTAAATAGTAATCTCACATAGTTTTCAATATGAAATTTTGTCATTGCTTATTAAAATTCCATCTGCCACTTCTGCATTAGAATCATACTATTTCTTCTGTAGTAGTCCATACTCAAAGTGGAGTGGAATGATCAATAGAGAAAAACCCAAAGTCGTCTCCACAATTTTTAATGTATAATAAGGCAGTCAATCCTGCTTCATTAAGGTTGAAAGTTGATACATGTTTCGGCCATTCAAATAGCCATCTTCAGTCAAAAAATAACAAAGTGTATGTGGAAATTACTTCAAATCATCGTGAAGGCGAAAAAATTATTACCAAACCATCATTTATTATTTGTTTTATTTATTGAAAATGGAGTGATGTAAGAGGAATTGGGAGGAAGGCAAAAAGCCCAATCCTCCAAGAGGAAAGTTAAATTCTTCATGGGAGGCTGAAGAAGCTCTCTGTGACTGTGCCCGCCATTTTTCTCTCTGGTTTGATCTTTTTGCCGTATTTTTTTTCTCTCAGTTTAGGCAATGTAGTGATCAAATCTTTCGCGTGAAAAATCGAAATATCCAGATAATGACTGATGACAAAAGATGTTCAGTTGTATTTTCGCCTGGTGCTATAGCACCCAAAAGACCCCTGTTGAGACCGGCACTGCCTTTCAAACATTATTTTTAGATGACATTTCAACTCAACTAGATCAACAAACACAACTCTCTACCAAAACTCGTTCGTTTATAGAAGGACAAAGATTTAGAATTCTTTGGCTAGCGAAGTATTCCAGCAAATACTTCCACGAAAATAATAGACCATAAAACAAAATGGAGAATCTAGTCCGTATTCACATCCAATCTAACCAGAAACTATTCGAAGGCATGTGGAAGAAAGTAGTAAACTCGCATGGCTTATTTTATTTTCAAGACAATAAGCTATTTCCTTACGGTCTCGCCTGTGGGCCTGAAACGATTTAGATAGCACTCGTGGTGAATATTTTATGGTAACCACACAGTGGACTACTGTATAATAACAGAATTCTATCAGCACGCAATCGTAGAGAGTGTGGACCATTTACATGTTAAATCCCATTTTTACATGGCCAAATGAACCCTTCGCAACGCATTATGACTATGATTAGTTGGAGAGCTTCCGTTATGGCCTCGTTTTTGTTCAATTTATATTCAATTGTATTCTCGATTGTATCACCTTCTGAATTAATAGGCAAGAACACTAATTTTTAGAAAAAATACTACACACTAATGAATACAGTGTTGATATTGAACACTATTCAACAATTCAACACTAGCTTACTCCTCGCCGAGCTTCCATCTTATGGCTTACCTCCCCAGCTATGTTCTCTGCTAGCTAGGTGGTCGATGGAGTTTCATCTGACTCTTATCATAAATGCTGGTGTTCCGCAAGGATCAATTCTAGCACCAACACTATTTCTACTCCATATCAACGATTTGTTGAAAGCAACTTCATGTCCAGTACACAGCTTCGCGGATGATAGTACCCTCCATACCGCCTTCTCTTCTCTTTCAGGGCTTCAATACCAGCCAGGTAAATTAGAAACGTTGACAACATAAATATGGACTTGGCAACAATTCTCGAATGGGGATCCAATAACTTGGTAGATTTCAATACAAACAAAACACAAGCATGCCTTTTCTCTAGAAAAGCCGATCTCACTGTGGTCAATATAAGCTTGTCAGGAGTAACCATACCTTTGAACACATCCATTTCGATGCTTGGTATTACTATCAGCAAAAACCTTCCTTGGGAAAATCACGTGAGATCAATTGCTAAAAGTGCATCCCTAAAACTTGGGTTTCTGTTTCGGGCCAGGAGCTATTCCACTTCCAGTCAGTTGCTCACGATCTATGAGGCACAGATCGGACCTGTCCTGGAATACTGTTCCCATATTCGGAGTGCAGCACCCAAACATACCCTGAAACTGTTGGATTCTGTCCAAAAAAGGGCAATTCGTCTCGTGGGTGAGGCCTCGCTCACAAACTCACTCACTTCTCTGGAACACCGTAGAAAAGTTGGCGATCTGGCTCTATTTTATAGATATTTTCATGGGCGATGCTCTTCTGAAATATCAACAATTGTTCCTTCCTTAGCAGTCCCGCGAGATTAACCCGTCGAGTGAGGCTTCGCACCCCTTCGTGGTCACTCTGGAGACCTGCAGAACATCTCTTTCCAAACACTCGTTCATCCAACGAACAGCGAGGCCACGGGAAGTGGTCCCCGAGGCATATAACGTCCAGAAATATAAGAAGAACACCAATTCCTACCTAATTTCCCTTGGTTCTCACGATGTTCTCTGAACATTACAGGATATCCCTTTTCGTGGGAACCAGAACATGAAAAAAAGTACAAGTCCCTCTGAATAGTGTTGATTTCCAACAAATAAAGTCATTAATAGTGTAAAGTTTACACTTGATAAGTAGATCATAACAACTCGACCAGTGTTAACCAATGGAAGTCGGTTTCACTTCCAGAGTCAAGTCTTACACTATAGTAGAGTGAATATTTATTGTACAATCAAACATTCTAGGGTTACTGGTATAGTCTTCTAATTTCTTCTTGAAAATATACACTATATTATATTAACATATTATGATAATTTATTCAAATAACTGTATATACATAACAATATAGTATTGAAATTTGCTATTCATCACAAATTGAGCATGCATATGCGGACCCATTCACCTAGGATCACTCTTTCATGAGTAGGTACTCTGATCCCCCAGAACTTGTTCTTTGACTTCAAGGCCTTGAGTTGACAATAAGTCTATCGGTTTCGCAGAAACCTCACTAAAAACCTTACTGCAAATATGAATTGAAATACATTCCGCATTCATATTGAAACCGATATGATTTTCATTACGAATGAGATCTATTTAAAAATGCTAACTTCAGAGTCCCATAGCTTCAAACCAAGTAAACATAGAAAATAACTCTCTGGATAAAAGTTATTGTTTGAAAAAATACGTTCTTTTTAGAATATGGAAAAACATGATGGAATTTCGTAATTTCCGCCATTTTGAAAAGGGTTGAAAAATTGTTGAATATTGTTTGTTTAAATATTTCGAGAAATATTCCCTCTGCGAAATTTCCACTTGCAGTTTTCCTTTTCCGTTATAAGCCAAGGCTGATCAATAACTTGAGAACCACTCTGGTACACGTTCAGGACGATTAGAACGCCAATTGCCTATATGGGTGTGATTTCTTCGAAAGGAAGGTTTTTCTTGCGAAGCAGTAATCACATAATTACGGTATGCTGCAGTTGCATCACATTATATAAGATCCGGAAAACTATCAGGTAGGTATTTAAAACTCGGTATTTACTTTTTCCTCATCGCACACCATATGCTAGGGATTTGAAGTATTATGAATCATTAATACAGCCACAACATGCCAAATGCATGGCCAACACGCTATACTCGTCATGATATATTCACATTTTAGTCAGTTGGGATGCAGAAGCAGAAGACATTTACATTGGGTTGTGAGCTTATTGGCTACTGCTGTGATAAATTTTCCAGGCATAAGTATTCAGTATGCAATTCAGTATCATCACTAGATTCTTAAAAATTAGACGTTTTCAAGTGAGACAGGTCAGTCGGGGGGTATTCTAAAAACGTACAAGGATTGGACAGATTGAACGTAAGATTGGACCGATGTTATCGAATATTATAAAACCTAGATTGGCCATTTGCATTGCGAGATTGGGAATATTGGGCCGAGATTAGACCTCGGATTGGACGGACTGTATCGGGATTGGACACCAACTGAACACATATTGGACATAGTGGTTCACCTCTCTAGGTCACTCCTTCAAAACACTCTTTTTTTTGTTTTAAATTCTATACAGGACAAGATTATAGTTAAAATAATTTGAAAGATCATTCCACTGATTTCGAAATATATATTTTTGTTTGGTTGTGATATCTGTGTTGATAAACATGAATATGATAACATGTTCTCGTTTTTGAATTTCGGCTGTTGATTGGCTGCTAGATACCTAAATATGCTGTTTTCAATTTTGTATTTCGCGTCCTAATTGGTGGTTTGATCAGTACATACATGATTTTTTTGTTATTTTTTTAAATTTTTTGTGCTCACCTATAGCTAGTATTATATACTTAGACCTATGTCCATTTTCTCAGTATCAGGGAACCAGTATTCATGCTCTCTTGTAAGAATTATTGTTGATTGAACATACACTATACATTTTGAACCTTCTTTGAGTGAAACAGAAGTTTTTCTTTACGATTGGATAGGAATTTTCTATGACCTCAACAATGCGAAAGCTTTGATACCGCCTTTGATGACCGATGACTCAAAATTCGTGACCTTGAATAGCACCACCGTATACAGGGAGAAAAATGTATATAATCTTCAGTCATCTACAAAGCTTATGTTTTGTGTAGCCCAAGGGCTTGTGAACTCTTCATGCAGGGTGATGCACTTTCTTCTCCGAAAAAGTGATGTGGTTGAATAATCTTCCAGAAATATGAACATACTCGTTCATTTACCACTAACAAGGATTAGTAGGATGCGTTGAACTCGTTGAACTGTATCATATTTTACAGTTTTTCCATGATAAATGACTTTAGTGGCAAAAACAGAAACCACAAGAATTTGCTAAAAATTCATCAGAAGAAAATCGAGAAAAAAACGGTTGCAGTGAAATGCTGATCATGTAACCATAA